TTTATTACTATTTTTTTTTTTTGTTCTCATGTATTTCTTCAGCTCATGTAAAGCACTTTGAGCCTGTATGTTTGAACGGTGCTTTACAAATACACTTATCTAGCCTAAAGGAATATTTAATGTAAGCAAAGTGTATTTAACTTTTTGAGAATTTAGTTTTATTTATTTATTTTCTTCCTATTTACTCTCTCCTCTAGCAAAAATGTAAAGGGGAAACAGACCTAATATTAATCTAGAGTGCAGGTCGGTAGGTTTATTCCTCGACAAGGTGTCGCATGTCATGTCCAAAGTAAAATACATGAAACAAAAACAAAAAAAAGCTCATGCACTTACATATCAAAGTCACTAGATGTCGCCAAAGTTCTACACTTGCTATTGACTTTCTCTTTCCAGATGTGGATACTTGAGCCCACATTGACCACGCATGCGCAGAACCTTGCTGCCTCCTCGAAAGCGCAGTCCTCTTTCTGTCCTGTTACAGACACCATTTCCCGTCGTCCTCCGCTAGGTGGCAGCACAGTCACGCAGAGAGTCAGAATCCAGCCAGAGAGCCACAACGTTCCTCGAACGATCGCACCTCATCTTGTCATCTGAAACATGACGTTTTTTAATCCATATGACAAAGTTGTTTTTTTTCAGCACAAACAAAACCACATTTATCTTATGAAAAAAAGTTTTTTTTGGACACAAAAAACGGTGCAGAGCTTAACGTTCACTGTTCAGTGTGTTTACTTCAGATGACCATATTGTCGAATATAAATACAGCCTTTTTTATATTCTATCTTCTTATTTTTAAAGGTCACAGATTATATTAAAGTCAAATTGTTCTATTACAGTAGGGTGGAACTGCTGTTTTGGTTTCAATACGTTTGAACAGCGTTTACACAAACTATTTTGGGTAACAAAAATAAAGATTTTTCTCCTGTATGTCCCTACATAACACAGCTCTGGTCAAACAAAGTAGGGCCTACAGAGAGGTAATTATTAAAGCAGAGTATTGGCTTTTATTGAACACTTATGTCAGGCTATTATTTATAATAATGCCAGAATGACAAAAAAAAGAAAGATACAGATAACAAATCAAATGTAGTGCAGGTGTTTGTAAAGACTGCTTTCCTTCATTTTCATCCTCCACGCAGGAAGGGAAATAATCACGTGAACCGCCTTAAAAACGTGTTTCTTTTTGCAGAAGAGTGCAGTCTGCCCTCACTGTCACGCCTTTACTCCAGACAGCTTTTTAACAAGAGCCTCATCACACCGCCGCGTGCGTGCGCGCGCGAAAGCGAAAGCGAAGCAGTGGTCTATATGGGCTACTCAATAAAAGCCGGGGGCTGCGATCCGTCAGTGCATTTATCATCCTATTACGGCGCAAATCCGGCTCCCCAATACATGAAAGGTAAAATGAATTACCGACGTTAAGCCGTCAATAAAGCCATTCCTGTAAATGGTGTCTCCGAGGGGCCCCCGCTATTATTCAACACGCTTTATCAGCACCTTGGAAATTACGCGGCTTGTAGCGCGGCCCCTGCCTCGCTTTGATTAAGGGCCCTGCCAGGGACCGGTGACAGCGCTTTTGACTCGGGGTTTCTTTTTTTTTATTCAGCCCCCCGCTCCCCGTGATAAACGCCGGGCCGATCGGGCGGAATGAAGACTAATTAAAAGCTATAAATTATCTTTTGCAGCCCCTCTCAAGGAGGCCTCTCTTTGCGGGCGCCAGATAAGAGCGCGCGGGGCTGAGTGCTCATTTGCCCACAATGGCGCTGCGGCTAAACAGCACATTGATACTGTCCCTAATTGGAATTTAATTAAGTAGCCACGGCTCTGCGCTCCGGCCTGTGGGATAAAGATTTCACCATCAACACGTCCCCACTTTCATGCTGTTGCTTTTATGATTATTAATATTATTATTTCACATCGCCAATTAGAGCCTGCATGGTGGCGATTTTATTATTCTCGAGATTTCTTCTTTTTTTTTTTACAAAGCCACTATGGGGACACATTCCTGCGTTATGCGCCTCATTGTGTTTTAAAAACTTCATTTTTTTCACTTGTAGATTTTTTTCTACAGAAACAAGTGTATGTGTCTGGCATGTTCATAATCAGGGTGTTTAAATCACAAATAGGACGTCAATGGGTCACGCGTGAGGCAAAGAAAGACAAGAAAGGGCCTAAAAGAAGAATGTAAAATAAAAAAAGGAAATACCAGTGACAGTGCAAAAGACCGAATATACCGTTTTAGAGACGTTTAGCTTCAGTAATTACAGATACTTTGTTCTTTGTCTCTAAAATAGCAACGTTTTGTGCAAATATTACCTTCATATTGGGCATATGAGTGTCAACAACACTTAGAGAACCACCTGCCCTAACGATCCTGCATAGGCGGGAAGTTAGCTTAAACTCAATTTTAAGTCATATTAATAATATAATTTTCTCATAAATACATCTCCATTTAAGATATAAGTAAATTATAGTCTATAAAAATTGAAGAAAACTAGTATTTCAGTGCTTTTCCGTTGCCCTGTGTAACATTTATAATGGTGGCTGTCCCGCTGTTGTTTTTGTTTTGCTGCGTGCGTGTGTGCGCACGTGCGCCTCACAGAAATCGATCGAACTACGCGCGCGCGGGGAGAGGGTAGGGGGGGGGGAATCTGAGTGTAGCGCGTGCTCGCTCGCAAGCGCCTCCCGAGCCCCTCATTGGACGAAGTCCATTCTGACAGGGACGATCTCCGCGCCCGATTGGTCCGCTGCACGTGTGTACGCGCACACGTGCTTCTGGCTGGGTGTAAGAGAGAGAAAGAAACACACGGTGGGGTGTGGTATTGGGGGGGGGGGGGGGGGG